GTCCTTTTCTCCTCATGTGTTCCTCAGACTCTTGTTTTCCTTTTTTTTTTTTTTTTTTTGAGATGGAGTCTCATTCTGTCACCCAGGCTGAAGTGCCGTGGCATTATCTCAGTTCACAGCAACCTCTGCCTCCTGGGTTCAAGCAATTCTCCTGCCTCAGCCTCCCGAGTAGCTGGGACCACAGATACATGCCACCATGCCTGGCTAATTTTTAAATATTTTTAATGGATATGGAGTTTCACCATGTTGGCCAGGCTGGTCTTGAACTCCTGACCTCAAGTGATCCACCCATCTCAGCCTCCCAAAATGCTGGAGTTACAGATGTGAACCACTGCGCCCACCCCCCTACCTTTTTTTTTTTTTTTTAAACAGGGTGACCGAGGTTGGAGTAATCATAGTTCACTGTGACCATGATCTCCCTGGTTCAATCGTTCCTCTGGCTTCAGTAGCTGGGACTACAGGCGTTTATCACCATGCCCAACTAACTTTTTTTTAAGTTCTAGCAGAGCTGCAGTCTCACTGTGTTGCCCAGGCTGGTCTCAAATTCCTGAGTTCAAGTAATCCTCCCTCCTTGGCTTCCCAAAGTGCTGGGATTACATACATGAGCCCCTGCACCTGGCCGTGAGGGTTAGATCTTATAATGTCTGCTGGGCTTCCTGGCCATGCCATTACAGGGCTGGTAGTTCTTCACCAGCGGCTGGAAGGCCTTCCAGAGGGCTGGCAGCTGGGCACACAGCGTGCCCCCACCCCGTTGCTCCTCTCCCTGGTTCCGATTCATGTCACCCACGCACGTCCAGGGCCCTTTTGGGGACACGCACCATTTGGAGTGGTCCTCTGTGCTGTTGAAGCTTGGGCCACCCGGTCCAGGGAAAGCTATCTGGTTCACATTCAGAACCTGCCAGATATCCGAGCAGTTAGAGGGCAGGACGCCTACAGTTTTGTGCCAGAACTGGACCTGCAGGTTGGTACCAAGGGCTGCCGCCAACCAGCCAGAGTACAGGTCTGCAAAGGATGGAGAGAGGGCACAGGTAAGGTCAGGGCCACTGCTAGGGAGTCCCTAGGCCACTTCCCCTCTCTCAGCTCAGTTTCCATATTTCTTTTTTTGTTTTTTTTTTGACGTGGAGTCTTGCTCTGTCACCCAGGCTAGAGTGCATTGGTGCAATCTAGGCTCATTGCAACCCCTGCCTCCCAGGTTTAAGTGATTCTCCTGCCTCAGCCTCCTGAGTAGTTGGGACTACAGGAATGCACAACCACACCCGGTTAATTTTTTAATAAAGAGACAGGGGTTTCACCATGTTGGCTAGGCTGGTCTCAAACACCTGATCTCAAGCAATCTGCCCACCTGGGTCTCCCAAAGTGTTGGGACTACAGGCATGTGTCACCGAGCCCTGCCATAGTTTCCATATTTCTGAGCTCCGTTGTCAATTCCCAGCCCTGGGAATGATGACATTAATATTAACTGCCCTTCCCAGATTTTTTTTTTTGAGATGGAGTCTCACTCTGTCACCCAGGCTGGAGTGCAGTGGTGCAATCTTGGCTCACTGCAACCTCTGCCTCCTGGATTCAAGCGATTCTTCTGCCTCAGCCTCCCGAGTAGCTGGGATTACAGGTGCCCGCCACCACACCTGGCTAATTTTTGTATTTTTAGTAGAGATGGTATTTCACCATGTCGGCCAGGCTGCTCTCAAACTCCTGACCTCGTAATCTGCCAACGCCTGCCACCACGCCCAGCTAATTTTTGTATTTTTAGTAGAGATGGAGTTTCACCATGTTGGCCAGACTGGTCTTGAACTCCTGGGCTCAAGTCATCCACCTGCCTCGGTCTCCCAAAATGTTGGGATTACAGGCGAGCCACTGCGTCCAGCCCTAAGTGTTTTTGATTAATTAATTATTTATTTTGAGACCAGGTCTCATTCTGACACCCCGGCTGGAGTGCAGTGGCAGGATCACGACTCCCTTGCAGCCTTGACCTCCTGGGTGCTATTCTCCCATCTCAGCCTGCTGAGTAGTAGGGACTACACGTGTGCCACCATGCCCCACTAATTAAAATTTTTCTTATAGAGATGGGGTCCCACTGTGTTACCCGGGCTAGTCTCAAACTCCTGAGCTCAAGTGATCCTCCTGCCTAGACTGGGATTATAGGTGTGAGCCACTGTGCCTGGCCTATTTATTTATTTTTATTTATTTATTTATTTATTTATTTATTTTTGAGACACAGTCTCGCTCTGTCGCCCAGGCTGGAGGTCAGTGGCATGATCTCTGCTCACTGCAAGCTCCGCCTCCCAGGTTCATGCCATTCTCCTGCCTCAGTCTCCCAGGTAACTTGGACTGCAGGCGCCTGCTACCACGCCCGGCTAATTTTTGTACCTTTAGTAGAGATGGGGTTTCACCATGTTAGCCAGGATGGTCTTGATCTGCTGACCTCGTGATCCGCCTGCCTCAGCCTCCCAAAGTGCTGGGATTACAGACATGAGCCACCACACCCAGCCTATTTATTTATTTTTAAATAAAGACAGGGTCTTGCTCTGTCACCCAGGCTGGAGTGCAGTGGAGTCATCATAGCTCACTGCAGCCTGAAACTCTGGGCTCAATTTATCCTCCTGCCTCAGCCTTCCAAGTTGCCTGGCTAATTTTTAATTTTGTAGAGATGGGGTCTTGCTATGTTGCCCAGGATTGTCTTGAACTCCTGTCTTCAAATGACCCTCCTGCCTCAGCCTCCCAAGTAACGGATTACAGGAGTGAGGCACCACCTCTGGTGCCCAAATGCCTTATATGTACCACTTCATTCATAACAATTTTTTAAGTAGATGCAGTATCCCCATTTTTCAGATGAGTAGACTGAGGCTCAGGTGAAATTATACATCACACAGCTAGAACCCAGGGTTTGAACCCAGGTCTGTTCACTGCTTATGTGATTATAGCTCCCAATCAGACCCGGTCTCTACCCCTGACTCGAACTCAGCCATGGCCGCACCAGTCACCCCTTCTGCAGAGAAGGAGCTCTCCACCCTCAACCTTCAGACTCACCATCTCCAAATTTGCTAAACTTGGCAAAGCTCTGGAAAACAGCCCCGGCCTGGGATGTGAGTGTGACGCTGCTGTTCCAGGGTTCTTGGCTAACGTGGTAGCCCTGGATCACATTCTCCAAGTCGGGGAATTCCTGGGCAAAGATCCCTTCCAGGTGGTGGTCATAAACCTGGGGGTAGGTGTAGGTCAGCTGCTTGCCTGGAGGACAAGGGGAGGAGGAAATGCAAGATCATTCTAGGTTCTGGTCGGTAAACCCAGGACTCATCCTGTGTCCCTGACTCCACTCACCAATCTTCGAGAACTGAGTGAAGGGAAAAGACACACAGAGCAGGGTCTGCCCGTAGGTACGGGCGCTATGAGGCCAGCTGTATGTAGCAGAGGAGGCCAGTGGAGGGAAGTCAGGTACGCTGTGGACCAGCCAGAAGCCTCCGTCGTGGTCGAGGAGCAGGACACCTGGACCAAAAGAAGGCATTAGAGGAGGTCGGGCGCGGTGGCTCATGCCTATAATCCCAGCACTTTGGGAGACCAAGGTGGACAGATCACCTGAGGTCGGAGTTAGAAATCAGCCTGGCCGGCCGGGCGCGGTGGCTCAAGCCTGTAATCCCAGCACTTTGGGAGGCCGAGACGGGCGGATCACGAGGTCAGGAGATCAAGACCAT